GTTGATTATCGACAGATCCCAGATAATCACTGATGTTACTAGTTATTCTCCAATAATATTTCATTTACTGAATCATCATTTAGTCTATTGAATGTCAGAAATAACTGTGAGCAGCCAGATGGTCGTAACTACTTGTAAAAAGGTAAATGTTCATTTCAAATCGAGACAGGCGTGTGTGTGTGTTTATGTATGTGTAGCAAACATAATGTCAGTCCAAAATGCTTATAATACAGCTTTTAAACACACTAAAACATCATTTATTAGACTGTATATATCATAAAGGAAGTAAAAGGGACAATAGCAGTAGAATAAAATGAAGGACGTCCGGACAGACAGACCAAAGAATCAGTTATTTCACTGCAGTTACAGTTTATAAATATATATATTTATATTCAGTAGAAATCTGCGGCAAACAGATGTTTTAGCCGTTTGAAAACCAAAACTCAAGGTCTCCTTTTTAGATTTTTCTGGAGCTTTTAAAATCATCTCACAGCCTTCATCATCAGTGAACGGAGGTCACATGACTGAAGATCCAGGTCACAGGTGGTTGTAAACGGGGAAGTTAACGTCCAGACTCCTGCGTCATGATTCACTCTACTCTTTGAGTTTCTTATTGAGCTTTGTTCTAAAAGCACACGAAGGGAAGCCGCTGCGGCGTTTTCTGGAAATGAACTTCTGTTGAATTTGCACTTAATTTTAGGCCCCAAGAAACCGAACAGCCTCCAGTAAAATGTGGAGTGACTGTGTAACATTTGCCACAGCTACGATACAGACGTTGAAGCGTCGGCGCCGTGCGGCTGAGTCACACTCAGTCAGACTCCATATCAGGAACACACAGCTGGAAGTGTGGCGGTTTGTCGGCCGAAGAGCTCCACGATGAAGCAGCACAGAGACGTCCGCCCTGAATGGGGCCGTCACCTTAGTAACCGTTTCACTATTGATACCATGTGAGCTTAGCTTAGGGCCTGGCCTTACACAGAGCTGGTTTAAATGATTTGGTTGTCAGTTAGATCAGGTGCTGCCATGTAAAACCATTTTTGGATCTTGACACAAACGTCTTCAGGTCTCATGTGTTTGCCTGGTTTCCCCCCCGCAGGGTGTCAGGTCTGGTCCAGGGTCGTTGAACGGTTAATGCACAAAGTAAAGAGGCTGAAAATTGAAGACAAAACAGAAGACGGCCAGAAAAGGTATGGGACGGTGTTTGCACCCTCACAGCTGTCTGAACCATATTGGTTTGGTTTGTAAACGTTTTTCTGTAGTTTTTGCTGCCAAAAAAGATGGTTTATGTTAGAAAATACATGAAAATTAGGAAATGTATTAAATAACCTAAAATCTGAGGCTTGAAGAATCAGCGTCACTTCTGAAAATCTGTATTTTTGCTTTTAGTGGCCTGATTTTCATTAAATTGTATTGTGTCGAATAGTTTCATCCTTTTCCACGTGAAGCACTTTGCGACAGTTTTGAAAAGTGCTTAATAAATAGTACAGTTTTATATTTGTGGGCGGCTCGGCGGTAGAGCGAGTCGTCCACTGATCGGAAGGTTGTGTGGTCCGATCCCCGGCTCCTCCCTGCTGCATGTCGAAGTGTCCTTGAGCAAGATACCGAACCCCAAATTGCTCCCGATGCTGCGTCATCGTCGGTGTGTGAATGCGAATGAACGAGTTTCTGTTCCATTGGCTCTGCCGTCACTGTGTGAATGTGTGAGAGGGCGAATGTGGTATGTAATGTAGAAGTGCTTTAAGTCGTCAGAGGACTAGAAAGGCGCTTTACAAAACAGTTAATTTACCATTCAGCTTTTATCATTATTATGTAAGCACAGTGTTGCTTTGACACAATAGCTACAGGAGTTCCCATTGTGTGTCTGAGTTCAGTGTCTGTCCTCAGCGTCAGAGAGGCACTGGCAGGCATGATGGGGGTGGACGAGCTCTCGGACAGCACGGAGGTGGTGGAGATGGAGGACGTGAATCCCACCCAGTTCCACGTGGAGAAGCACACATGGGATGGCCTGCGGAAGATCATCCACAACAGCCGCAAGAACACAGGCATGGTTATCAGCAAGGCGCCACACGACTTCCAGTTCATCCAGAAGGACGAGGCCAGTCCGCACTCCCACCGCATCTACTACCTTGGTGAGCTGAAAGCTGCGTGTCGACAGGGTCGTTTAGTAGTTTGTTAATTTCCAGGTCCAGCGTCAATAAGGGGCTTTTAACAGTCACTGACGTGTTGGCCTGCAGATTCCTTTGAAAGGTAACATGCTTCTGTGAGTAATCTGTGTATAAGACTGGTGAGATACCTGCCTGCAACTGTTTCCAAGCTCACTAGATGCACAACGTCTGCTGCAGGAAACATGAAACTCAACTAGGAACCTCTAATTCCTGCCCTGCTTTCGTTTTTTTGTTTTTTTTGTTCAGTAGCAGCTGCAGAGAATTTCTGCCGTTCTTTGTTGCCATTTCTCACTTTGGCTGCTGAGAAAAGTTTCATAGTCGTAGTTTTCTTCCTGTGGACTGCACAGTTAGAGTACTGTGGTATTTGCACTAAAACATCTGTGTTAAGATTTGTTGTCAGGATCAAAAGGTAGTTTTTGTTCTAAAGCTGCCATTTTGCACCATAGTCAACCATCGTAGAGGAAGAAGAGAAGCAGAACCAGTTTTTAATGCAGCAGAAGATGAACCTGAATTTTAAAAAAAAAAGCTGAGCAGAAATCAGGTTTCTCAGGAAATCTCAGGACTGGTTTGTTTGACTTGATCTGTGCTCTCTGTTGTTACAGGAATGCCTTACGCCAGCAGGGACAATGCATTACTCTACTCAGACATTCCCAAGAAGGTCCGCAAAGATGCTCTGTTGGTTTTGTCATGGAAACAGCTGCTGGATCATTTTAAGGTGAGGAGGATCTTTAGTCCTCTTCCTTCACTCTCTGGAATTTTAATGTCATTGATCCTTTTTAAAGTGTATTTAATCAGGGTTCCCAAAACCTGGAAATTCAGAAGCTACTTTTCCAGTCATGGAAACACCTGGAATTTGACTAAATTAACCAAAAATCCTGGAAATATTTTATGTTGTCGTGGAAAATATTCATAGTACGGTATTTTAGCTCCTCGCCTAGATCACCTACATAAACCTGGGTGCATATTTAGTTTGAAACTCAACTGTTGGTAGGATAAACTGCCCAGTATGTCACCTCAAAACCGGTTCACCAGACGTGGAACGGAAAAAACGTTCCCTTTCCATTTTGGCTCACATGTCAGTCGATTTTTTTTTAACTGTTCACACAAGATGCGAAGTGAAACTGAGGTACAGCGATCTTTAAAGTGCCTGGTTTATTTTTGTCTGGAGCAGAACTCACAGAGAAGCCCATTGGAGATGTTGTATATGAAACAACTACATGCATCCTCATTAATGATCGAATGTTGTTGTGGTTGTTAAATACATCCACAGCTATGTTAATTGTATATGCAGCAAACACTCGCCCATAAACACTGACCACCTACCTGCAATGAACCTGAGACACTTCATCATGAACGCTGCATCGTTAAAAAAGGAGTCAGTAAAAGGCCTACTGGTGGATTGTAAGACTGTTTAGGAGCCAGTGCTGTCCTGTAATGTCAAGAAAAACTCCTGGAAAATGATTTCTTAAATAGTGGAACCCTGTTATTTTTTTATAGGATGATTGTGACGCATTCTTTTCATCAAACTACTGTTGTAAACCTCCTCAAGACAAAATAATCTGGACCACTTGGGCTACAATAAAATAAAACAACCCATGGGGTAGATGTTCACTGTGGTTGTATTGATTTCATAAACAAGAGAATTTGAAAATCTTCTGTTTATTTCAGTGGTTTTCAAACTGGGTTTATCGGTTTATGGCGATTCTCTCTCTTTAATTTAGTATGGTAATGTCTTCTTACCGTTTGTTTTTTTTTCCTCCATGCCCTGAACAAACTCTCTTTGACTATGACCTCGCTCGGCCAGCATTATCACGTTGTGTGTCCTCCTGTCACCCCTGACCTCAGGCCAGCCCTCGCCACGGGGGCTTCTCGCGGGAGGAGGAACTGCTGCGAGAGAGGAAACGTTTGGGGGTGTCTGGCATCACCTCCTATGATTACCACCGTCCCAGCGGCCTCATCCTGTTCCAGGCCAACAGCACTCTGTACTACTGCCGTGATGGTGGAAACAACAGCTTCATTGTGAGTTAAAGTTCAGTTAAGTAAGACTGTCAGTGATATGGTTGCCAGTGCCTTAAGTACATTGTCAGAGGGGGAGATTCCTAGCTTTTTAAACACATTTTTTGGCCTCTATTGAGTTCCCCGGTAAAAATATGATTAGATTGATTTGAACTTGGCTGCCCTCTGTTTCTTGGCCAGTGTATTATAAACTTATGTCCAGACCCCCTCGACTCTGCAGAGGATAGCAGCTGTAGAAGAGAGCAGTGCTGATTGAATTATCGGACAATATTAACTTATCACAGGTAGTATTGGTGTAGACGTCTGCTGATAAGAAAGAAATACCAAAGATACTATTTTAAAAATAATTACACAGTTTGTCCATCAGAAAGCACTGAGAAGTTGTTCTTTATTTCTTTTTGTCTCTTGTTTAATGTTCACAATTATTTTCATTTATTAAAAATACGATGATTATTTTTTTAATAATGAAAAGTCAAAAATACATAAACATATTTTTCCAGATCCAACAGTAACACATTTTCAGATGTTTTGTTCTGTCCAACCAGTTGTGACAGAAGACATTATTAAAGCTGGAACCAGTAAATTTTAAGATTTGTTTGCTTTAAAATATACTTATACAGTTAATAAATAGATTAAAATTGTTGCTGCAAAATTTTCTGTTTTCTAATTGACTCTCATTGACATTGTAAGAGATTGTTACTATCCTGTGAAAATGTATGTCCAACTTTTTTTTTACCCAGAAAGATTGGCCTGTTTTCAGCTTTGTTTCAAAGCATTTTTCATATATTTTAAAATGTTTATTTAGCGTAAGAAGTAGAAGAATCTTCTCAACCCACACGGCTAAACTTGATCCTTTAGTTTATTCAAAAAATGACAAATCACCACATTCAGAGATGGACAGCTGCAGTGTATTAAAAACCAAATACCAGTCTTTACTTATTGTTTATGACCGTGTGCAGCAGCTGTGACCTCGGATGTCCTCCATCCTCTCTTCTGTGTGTTTGTGCAGACTTCTCCTATGCAGCCTGTCGAGATTAAGAGCCAGAGTTCAGGCACACGCATGGACCCCAAGATCTGCTCCGGGGACCCCAACTTCATCGGCTTCATCAACAACAACGACATCTGGGTGACCAGCATTGAGACGGGTGAAGAGAGGAGGCTCACCTTCTGCCATAAAGGTCAGGATGGAGATGGTCAGATGTTCTTACCTGGGGAATGTTTTTCCACTGTGCTTATTGTTTTTCTCTTCATTAATTTTAGGTATTGATAACCCAAAGGAAGACACCAAATCTGCCGGCATCGCCACTTTTGTCACACAGGAAGAGTTTGACCGCTTCACCGGATACTGGTGGTCACCTGCTGCTCGTGAAGGTGAGTCAGAGAGATATTTAGCTTATAGTTATCATCATAATCATTATATTAATAGTTTTAAAATGAAGATTATTTATTTTTAGATGCATAAATAACAAAAATGTATTCAGACATTTGTTAAAGTTTATAAAATGGTTCACAGAGAAGTTGTTCTCCTGTAAACAAAACCAGCTTTAACAGTTTTATCTGCTCTCTCTCTCTCTCTTTAGAATCAGATGGCGGTAAAACTCTTCAGATTCTGTACGAGGAGGTAGACGAGTCCGAGGTCGAGATCATCCACGTTCCATCTCCGGCTTTAGAGGAGCGTAAGACCGATGTCTACAGATACCCACGCGCAGGTACAAACACACACACACACACACACACACTAAAAAAGCTTTTGATTTAAACTATTGAAGTGATGCATTTGTTGTTTTCTAGCTTTTTATTTTGTTTATGTGATTTTTTAACAGGCACGTTTATTTAAAGCTGCCCTGTGGAGTTTCCTGTAACTAAACAAAAGTTTTATTTACATTCAGTGTTCCTCACACCCTCTGTGTGTGTCTTTTTGAGGTCTAACAAAAGGTGTTGAATGCATTTCCTTCCTTATAAAACCTTTTTTTGTTGCAAACAAACAAGATAAAATAAAACTGCCCCAGAGTGCTACAAGAGGTCAAAAACTCCACAGGGATCCTTTTTGAATAGTTAAATGCTTGTTGGGTAGCTCAGTCAGTAGACCATAACTCCTATAACGGCTCACAGTGCTTATCCAGACAGAAAGAGTTCATGTTTGTTTATATTTTGGTATGTAACTCTGTTTTTTTTTTGTATCCAGGCAGCAAGAATCCTGATATCACTCTCAAAATAGCAGAAATCAGGACGGACAATCTCGGCAAAGTGAGTGCTTGTTCAGTGCCGTAAAACTTGATACCAGTAAGTCCTTCAGAGAGTTGTTCAAACGTTGACTCTGTGTTTCTCCCTCAGATCGTCAGCACACAGGAAAAGGTGTTGCCGGTTCCCTTCACCAGCCTGTTTCCTGGTGCCGAATATATCACCAGAGCCGGATGGACAAAAGACGGCAGATAGTAAGTTTCCTCTCTAGAAGATAGATTTCAAAAGCACCTTTTTAAACGTTGCAGAGCTCCAGAATTAAGTAACTTGGAGTCGGTATACACATGCTCACACCCGTCACTCTCTGTGTGTGTGTCAGTGCGTGGGCGGTCATGATGGACCGACGGCAGCAGCACCTCCAGTTGGTCCTACTGCCTCCAGCGCTCTTCATCCCTGCAAACCAGGACGAGGCCAGCAGGCAAGAGAGCCTGGAGGCCCTCGGAGAGGCCGTCCAGCCCTTCATCATCTACCAGGAGACCTGCGACATCTGGATCAATGTGAGGAACAAACACCACGTCTTTCTGTTTTCAGCTTTTTAATATACGCTGATAAGATGAGTTGAAAATCATGATCATTTATTTCCCTCTCAGGTCCATGACATCTTCCATCCATTCATCCAAACCAGTGATGATGAGATCACCTTCATAACAGTAAATGAATCAAAAACAGGTTTCTGCCACCTGTATAAGATTACCTCAGAGTTACAGCGGGGCAGCTACAACTGGGCCAAAGGCTACACGCACTCTGAAGGTAACACCATCAGCAAGCACAGGCTTCATGTACCCAAAAATGTCCTCAGAGAATGTGTTACTTTATTAAATTAATAAGTCAGTAGATCTTTCAGTTAATTCACTCCTCTCCTCTCGTCTTTCACCAGACGATTTTAAGTGTCCAGTCAAAGAGGAGGTGACAATAACCAGTGGGGAGTGGGAGGTGCTGGCCAATCACGGAGCAAAGGTAAAGCCCACTTTTAACTGTGTTCAGAACAACACTGATAAACCACCAGAACATTGAGTTGTAAAAACATATTATACAATATAAGAAAAATAAGTGTAAAATATACTCAACGTTTTTTTTGTTTTTAATTTAATTACAATATTATTAATAATAATAATAATAATAATAATAATAATAATAATATGTATATGATGACTGGACAGATATGCATG